GAATCTCTGCATTAATCTTGAAATGCTGCTTTTTACTTTGTTGGAATATAGCATCATACACTGTGTGGTTTAAAACAAAAAAAACCCAAAACAAAAAAAACCCTTAGGTTCAAAGGACTCTAGTACAATAAAAACAGTTCTAGGAAAAGCTTCAAATTAATGAAAATCAATATGTAATTCCTTGCTTTGCAACACAAGATGACCCCTAACATTTTAACATAGTTTGTGGAAAATATTTAATTACACAGACTTCATAGAGTCATGGATGAGGCCCTTCATGTCCACAGATGTCTGTCTTCTTGAAGAAAATGGTTGAGAATACTATTACTAATTATGTTAATCAAATATGCCTTTGAACTACTCTTATAAAAAAGTTTTGATAATTCATAATTCCCAAGTAAATTAACACCTCTTGCAGTACACGATATTTAATTTTCCAAGTTATTTATTCATATGAAGGATCTGGCCTTGCCCTTCATACCTGGCCAGTACAGTTTTTGGCCCGTTTGTGATTGATCCAAACCTGTTTGGTGGTTTGGTGTTCTATGTGAAATATTTTAATGGTCTTGATGCCCCTGTCAAGTTGCCACTGGGATTTTCTGTCAGTTTCTTGGCAAAACATCAAAGAGCAAAAGCAGTGGGCCCAAAAAAGCCCATATTCTGGTGATTCTGTGAGGATAGGGCAGTCTCTATTTTTTTGCTCTGCATTTTTGCTATCCCTGGGCTACAGGAAGAGAATTTCTATCTTTATTATTGCCCATCTGGCACCTTTCACAGGCAGCAAGAACAAAGAAGTAAAATGTACTGGTCCCTACCATCTGCTTCTGCTTGTAAAGTCTAGAAAGAGCCTGATAGGGAAGAAAGAGAAAATTTAAGAAAAAAAAGAAACAACCCCTTCGTTTCCCACCAAACTGTTCTATCAGGTACACTTCTTTGCCCGTACTTAGGGCAACCCCAGAGGCCCTCGGTTCCCTACAGCAACGCAGCTGCTCGACACAGAGCATCCCAAACACTCCTCGCCCCACATCTTCATTCACAAGCATCTCACAGCCCGGGAAGAAAGGTCGCGTTGTTTGAGATTTGTTTTATTGGATCAGCCTATGTTTTATCTAGGGTAGGAAAATTCCTGTGGGTTTAATAGGAGGTATTACCCTACAGATTTTCTCTGGTTCCACCTCCTTTCCCATCAGCCACATCCCTTCTTGCTGCAAGGCTGCATACACCATGTGTTGGCTCGACCCCTTCTGTCTCTGACAGAAGTTTGGCCAAAAAGAGCAGATTTTCTGCTACTTTGATCATTTCCTGTGGTAAAAAGTGAAGGGAATTATCTGACCCATGGTCTTTTTTTTTTTTTTACTTAGTTTTGAAAAATAACATGGATTTACATTTGTAATTTCCCTTAAATAGTGTACTTGCTTTTCAATAGCATTTTGCTGCTAGTTTACTGCTTGTCTTACAGACTTACTTTCTTTTAGAATCAGAAAACGCATTGCTCCGATCTCAAATTCCAAGACTTAGCTGCTGTATTAAATCAATAATGATCTTTGCTATGATGAAGCAGCAACCAAAAGGTAGTATCAAATTCACAGGCAATATAAAAGTGACAACTTTTTCCCTGTTAAAAAATTCTTACATTTATAAAAGAAGCTTAATTCACTTTTGGTGGGGATAGTGTTATTTTTGGCTAAAAATATGCATTGCATAATGTGTTTAGAAATAAGTTAACCCTTTGATTAAATGCACTATTAGAGTAGTTCTATGACATATGTGAGAGAAGCAGCCTGAAATATTAAGTATTCTTTTGTCAAAACCAGCAAGGTTCCAGGTCAGGAAATGCGTTTCATGCTGGACTAAGCCTATGTTGCAATGGTGACTCTACCCAAATGGTGTCACCTGAATTGTTGACCTAAATGGTGTAAGTAGTTGGGCAACAAGGGCCTAAAGTATGATGCCAAGTGATAATCAGGGACCTCGATGTGGCCCGCAATTGCACCCTGAAAACTAGACCATTATTTATTTTTTCTATCCCAGCAAGTACAAAGTAAATGAACAACACAAATATACTTATTAAAATAATGTCTTCTAACAGAATTAATATTCTGTAGGAATGCATTCCCAATAAATTAGCACGAGATTCATTAAGTCCTTATAAATGTGGCACCACAGCATTTTAAATATACATTATGTTCACTCTCAGTAGTGGAACCACACTCTTTCAGCTCTGAAAATGCTACAATGTGTGTACATATATAGAGACTTTTTCCTGTTAATCATTTACTCAGAGTGCATAAAAATAGTTGTACTTGTTTGCATCAAAAGCCTTTTTTCTTTTTTGAACTTTACTGTGCAAATTATGTGAATAGCACAGATTTTGACAGATACTCTCTCAAGCTGAGGCCAGGGAGCACACAGCTCCCTTGGTGCGAGTTCTCTGGAAAGAAATGATTGAACATTTTGAAGTGTTAAAATTACCACAATTTTAAAATGCTACAGTAAGCTACTTTGGTGAACTTACTATATATGTCTGTGCATATATATATATATATATATATTTTACTTTTTTTTAATCAGACCGTTAACTGGAATCATAGCCTAGCTATATTTCATGTTTAACTTTACAAAACTGAATCCCCCAAAAACACACCTCAAAAGCAAAGCAAGATCTAGAGCAGTTCCTTTTCCTTCAGTATTAAAAAGGGGGAAAAAAAGATACATTCTTATTTTATATACGTATGCATGTACTTCAAAATATAATCAGAAATGGGTGAAGAATCTGCAGTATCCTTGTAAAAACAGAAATTGCACTAAACCACTTAAAACAAAATCTTACCACAACAAAAATCAGCGCTATCATCATTAATAATACATTGCCTTTCATATGCAGAGGTAATAAGGAGGCTGCACTGTGATCCATGTAACCTCAATAAGGTATAAATGAATCAAAAAGAATCTAATTAGTTCAGCAGCGCCAAAAATTACTAAGTAGAAACATCAAAAGAGGCAGTGGGACATTACTTTTTATTATTTTTTTTTTTGGCCAGACACGCTGCAGAGCTGCCCTTCAGAATCCTCTGGTTTGTACCTGGAGGGAGCCTCGGACACGTAGGTCACGGCAAGTTAAAAGAAGTGGAGTTAAGGATGTCACCCCAAAACCTGCGCCCGCTCCCCTCTCAGCACCATCTCCGCACGTCCCACACGGAGTCCTGCACCTTCCAGGAGCTATGCAAAGGAAGGGTGGAGCCCGTTCCTCACCTCCTGTCCGCAGCCGCAGAAGATAGTACATCCTGAAAGCGTGACATCTGCCACAATCCCTTTTTCCTCCTTCCCCTCGCGGAAGAGAAGGAAGGGTAGATTGGGACAGTTATCTCGGCTTCCACGCAGACATGCTACAAGGGTGGGAGACACAGAGGGTAGCTGAGCAGACAACCGCAAACACTGCAGAGGCACAGGACCTCCCTGAAGATGGCCTTGGCCTCCTAAGAGTCCCTCCGGAGTCCTACAGCTGTTCCTGCCGTCCAGATGGGAAAACGTGCGTGCACGCACACGCGAGAGAGCCCCTGAGGAAGTACCTGTGGGGGCATCTAAGTCAAAGTTAGTACAGCGTGTGTATATACTTATTTACAAAAAAATAGTGAGAGAACTTTTAAGCTCTACCACAAAGATACGGCCATCGCTGCCGCTGCAGCGCACGCTGCTGGGTTTATATTGCACCAGAGATAACGCAGAGAGAAAATCGTACCCCAGAGGAAGCGTAGCTTGGACTGCTTTTCACAAAGAAAAGTCTTAACCATACAATTCACTGAAGCTGGAAAAGTTTCATTTAAAAATAAACAAAACGTAATACTGGGGTCCACTGTACTTAAGCCAAAGAATTATTTTTTTCTAACCTTGAAGATACGGATATATAAGCTTAGCTTTTATCTCCTTCAACAGGATGTGTTTGTCCACTACCCAGTGACACTTCACTCCCCTTCGAAATTAAGTAAAAGCATCACAAGAGAAACAACACTGCTGTGAAAGGAAGACCTTTCACTACTCCACGACTGTTCCGTCCCCAAAACCAACCAGTTTACTTCTTCGAAGGAATAAATAGGACAGCACTGGTACAGTAAAGGTTTAAACCACAGTAACAACGTTTTTAAGTTGTGTTCTCCAATGGCTTTTGACATTGCTCAATTTGCAGACCTATTAAAAAAAAAATAATAAATGCCATTAGGCAATGGAGCTGGGCAGACAAAACAAAGCCTCCTTGCCAGAAGACCTGCTCTTCCATTTACCTGTCATGGAACATACAGAAGGCAACAGATCCCACGGGTCCACAAAGACCAGGCTGAAAAAAATCACCGCTGCAGTTATGGGAACTACTGCAGTATTCCCTGAGGTCCACTCGCAATTCCCAAGGAATTCAACTGGAGGTGGACTAGGCCTCAAAAGCCAGCTAACTTTTTCTGTTACCCGCGACATCAAACGAGAGCTGCTTTGACAGAAACCTGTGCTGAGGAGCTCCAACATGACCCTCCGAGGAATCAAAGGGCCCGTTCCTCCGCACTCCTAACCGGCCACACGGAACAAGCAGGGCTATCCAGCAAGACAAAGTTCAAGAAATCCTCACTAAATTAATATGGAAAGTCACAGATTTAAGACAGATGGCCCCCATCTGCACGAGCTAGAATACACAAGCTTCCCAAAGATAAGACAGAACGCTGATAAAGCCAGAGCCAGCCTGTGCCTGCAGCCAGAGCCCTCCCAACGCATCCAGCACTGCCCAGCCTTCCATAAATACAACCACGGAGTGTCTGTCGGAGGCGTCCTGAGGAGGAGGGGTGCTATTGCGGGAGGGACGGTATTTATAAAAATAAAAGAACTGAACTGCAGCCTGTATGCTGCTGTCTAGAACTACAGTTACTTTTGTACCACCCATTCCCTGGGGAAAATGACATACAATGCAAACAGGCCTAGTTGTCCAGCTCTTCAAGTATTAAGAGATTCACAGAAAGACATCTGAGAAACATAACATTTTAATAGATGAAATAAATACTCCAGTACATGCAAGATAAAAACTGACATTGGAAAAAAATTAAAAATCACTTTTGTTATAGTGTAATTTTTTTTGTTTGTTTGTTTAAACACTCACAGTAGCTTTTCCCCCAGTTTGGAAATCAACACATGGAAAACATAATCACAACCTCCAGTCCTTCCACTCCTACACACCAAATGCACTTCTAACCTAACACTTGATGCAAAAAAAAAAAAAGTCATACAAAACAAAAACAAACAAAATAGTAGCTACATCCATCATCTATGTGTTGTTGGGTTTTTTTTCATTTTTTTAAATGAGTGAGAACTGAGGTAACCTTTTTCCTGCACAACTGAACAGTAAAATTTAGAAGGGAAATTTCGGAAGACAAGACAAGACAAACTTTAAAAACCGCACCCAGCGCGATTAAAGCTTCTTTTTTTTTTTTTCCTCTCCTTAAGATACCCCCACCTCCCCAAATATAAAAAAAAAACAAAACACTTTCAAACAGTTGTAAAGACCTTGTTGAATAAAGGAAAATTTATCTGCAGATACTTGCTTGACTTTAAAGTAAAATAAAAAGAAGCCCAAACTGGCTACCTTTATTAGTACGTATAGTTTGAGTATGTTCTGCTTCTTCACCACATGAAATCAAAGGATTGGGCTCATCCAAGTAAATTCTTTGGTATACAAAAAAGGGGAGAGGAGGTGGGATATTATTTTCCTTTAGCAACGACTGGGATCTAAACAGAAGATGTGGGGGTTAATTCACAGAATTGGAGTTCACTGGCGGTAAAGTCCTGGGTGAAGATCGTTCTCTTAGTGCCTGAGATAACAGGTTGCAACCATCCGAGACGGCGCAAGCTGAGTTCCTCAACCTTTCCCTGTAATCGCTCATTTTGGTGCTACTTTCGGGGTGTTGGGCTATATCCCTGAGGCATTGGGTCAGGAGCACACAAGCAGATACCACACTCATGGCTCCTCCTAGGATGGCAGTTTGCACAGCTTTGCCCTCTGGATTAATGGTGGCAGCTTTACCCAAAAACTGGGGCTCAGTGGCAAAGCCCACCAGAGCATAGACAGACTGCACCAAAGGTCCACTGAACAAGACGCATCGGTTCCTGGTCAGCTCGCTGGGTGAAGTCTTGACCTCCTTGACACACGCCAAGAGGGCAGAGGCGCTGGTGCTCATACATTTGACACTGAGTTTGAACTGCTCCTTAGCAAATTTATCCTTGGATTTCTCACTGGCCAGCACGCAGGCGTCTGTCAGGAATTTCAAGTTCTTGGACATGTTCTGAGAAACCTCCAGCAGGAGCTGAGGGCTCATGTCTGCCAAAGGGGTGGTCTTCAAGACCCCGCAGCCGTGCTCCACCTCATGCCTACATCGGGTCACCTTGTAGCGATCCACCAAGCCGGGCATGGCGGGCTGGGCCCCCGGAGTCTCCACTGCAGCCAGGTAGGCAGCGTGGGCAGAGCATTCCGTCAGGGAGACCACCAGCTCCCCCATCTCCATCAGGCTTTCCCCCACCTCCCCGAAGCGTCCCATGTTGAGCTGGCTCTGGACATCGTGGGTCAAGATGGAGAGTCCTTTGGTCCTGGCGATGATCGTGTCCCTGCACTTCTCGAAGGACTCGCCGAAGACGGACAGGCTCTCCGTGTTCACCGGCCTGGTCTCGCTCGACAGCAGCAGCAGATCGGCCACCAGTTGCATCTTGATCTTGCAGTGGTCGCAGATAGAGATGAGCTTCTTCCTCTGCAGGGAACCGCTGCTGGGGATGCCGCCGCCAGACACCTCGCTGCTGGACTTGCCAGAGCCACCGCTAGCCATAGCGCCGGGGGGGCACTCGCATGCCGCTCGCTACCCCGCTGCCGCCGCCGCCGCCGCCCGCGCAGTCCCGACTCAGCCCGGCAGGATCGCTCTGCCTTTTCCGCAACATCATTCCATTAATCGCCGGGAAGCAAGAAGGGGCTCTGGCCGCCGGGGCTGCCGCTGCTGCGGGGACCGAGCTCCGCCGGGGCGCCCGCCCCGCTCCGGCGCCAGCCCTCGCTCCTACGGCGCTGCCGCGGCGGGTGGGCGCTCGCCGGGAGCCCCCGGGCCCCGTTCCGGCATCGTTTAGCTAAAAATATATATATAATTTCCTTTTCTTTTTTTTTTCTTCTTCTTCTTCTTTTTCTTCTTTTTTTTCCCTTTTCGCACGTTGGCTCCCCTCCCTTCCACCACCACCGCCGCCTCCGGCCGCGGGATCCTGCGCGAAGTTCCCTTCAGCGGGCGGAATGCCTCAGGGACGGCCGGCGGGGAGTCGGGGCCGGGGCGCAGCCCTCCCAGTCGCTACCGTGCCCCCCGGTTCCTCCGGTCGGTGCTCGCCCAGGGCCGGAGGGGCGGCGGCTGCGCACCATGTGCCGCCCCCGGCGCGCCCGCCGCGGCCCCGCAGGAAGCGCCGCCGCGGGTGTGGCCCCGCACCGGGC